TGCTGACAAAATGAAGGCTTTATCACTTAGGGTCAGTTGTAAAAGTCTTGAAGGAAGAAGTCGAGGACAGGAGAATATTGAGGAAGGCGGAAGTAGTGGAAGGGTAAGTTGTGATGGCCCTTAAAGCCAAACTGAAACTTATACACAGGAATTAGTCAAAATCGATTGTTAGATACACAAAGTTAGGGTTATACATTGATGTGTCACTTTGCCCTGGCACAGTTTGTACATTTTTGTGATGTATTAAAACAGCTATATGTTTTACTAGCGATTTGAGGTGACGAAGCAGAGGGGCTCTTGTTGCCATTGGTTCATTATGGTTAAATATGATTGGGAGGGTTCCATAGAGAAATCCCCATAGAAGAATTTACACGTCAGCATGAAAGGACTCTATCAAGTTCTTAGATAAATGTACAACACCATCCTTTACTTTAATTATTTTATATGATCCCATTCATTGGGATTTTTTTGGCTGAAAATGAGAATAGGAGAGTGACATTTTTCATCTGTTTGTCTTTCCTTCCCATGTTCCAAGGTTGTACATATTTTGCACAAAAGTCCCAACAAAGCAGATGCGCATTGCAGCTCAATGCAGCCACAGCCAGTTGTTCTCAGTAAAGTCAACTTTTTATGACTGCCCTTCTCTATTCGACATTTTCTGTCATTGTCTTGGAAATGTTAGAAGGGGATATTAACAATTAATCCCGCAAGAGGTGGGGCCCATTTTTCGTCCTTTTCTTTGTTGGGTTCTCAACTTAACCTGTTGAAACAAAGCCGTCAAATTAGAACTGACGACATTTAACCAAGTTTTTGTAATGTTCTGAACATAGGCTGCATAGGTCTTATAAGAATGGCAATTGATCAGGGAATATGAATGTTTATAGCATTTTCTTTCTTTTTTTCAACTTGCCAATCCAACCCCCCAAAAAATCATACTGGTGAGGTCATTTGGGAACCAAAAACGCAAAACAATGTAGGTTAAGCTAACAGTGCAAAAAAAGACGGAAAAATAATTTGCTGAAAAGAGAGCAGAGCATGTGGAAGCTCAAAGGGTGAGATAACAACACAAACTAATGAAGGAACAGCATGGAGGAGGAAAGAAGAAAAATTGGGGACAAGCAGAAAGAGAGATGGATGGGGAAGGGTAGGTGTTGAGATGGGGTGAGGAGCATTTGAGGATTCGTCTCTTGCTGGATAATTCCCTGGAGGATCTCTTTTCAACACTTGAAGGCTGTGAAGTGTGCGGTTCTGCTCATACTCCTCTTGGTAATTGGAAGAGAAGAGGAGGGGTGGGAGAGGAGAGGACAGTCAGGTAAAGCAGGGAGATATGGTAGTGGGGGCAGGGGGGGGTAGAAAAATTTGGAGCTGGAGAGGAAAAATGTACCAAGAAGAAAGGATACCTGTCGATTGCTGGTCTTTCTTTGGTTCTGTTTTTCTTATTTTTCTTTTTTCTATGCTTGGCATGACATCTCATTTAGTTTTACCTTACTATCCAGTCTTTATATTCTCTCTATCACGCTCTACCTCTCTCCACTCCTCCCTCCCCTCACCAGCAGTGGCGTGTCTGTGGTTGCAGGCAGCTTCTGAAACATGGCCACAGGCGTTTAATCATTGATGGAGTTTTTTTCCTTCATGCAGGCAGGCCAGCGGGCAGCCCCGATTCACTCGCGTACGTCAAGACCTGCTGATTCACTCTCTCGGGTCTTCAGGCACACACACACACGCACAAACACACACGCAAAATACAAAGCAAACAAAGATACGCACAGACGCAGATAAAAAAAAAAAAAAGCAGCCAGAATGTGTTTCACGTGTGCGTGTGTGACTATCCGCATTTGTGCATGTCTACTTTATCTCACCAGGGATTGTAAGGCCCAATCAGCAACTGTGAGCCCAAATAAAAGCAGCGGCGATAAAAAGGGATTTGACCACAAATAGAAGACAAACATATTTGCACAGGCCTGAGGCATGCACACTAAATCTCAGGTTATTAATAAATAAGTGCACGTATTTGTGTGTATCGTCGTTCAGTCACATTTTCTTTTTAATTCATGTTGCTCATTCATGTTGATCAGAAACACCCTCACAGTCAATTCCATTATGTTTCTCTTTATCAGAGTTTGCATTTGCTGTCTCATTCACTACAATGATTGAGAAAGAGAGGGTTAATTTGCGTGAACTTGCCTTCATGTAAAGGAAGTCAATGTCTGCCACCATGCTGTGGTTAACTTTGGTTTAGTTTTGTTAAAGGTTTGGTCAAAATGGTGTGATTTGGTCCTGAGACTTGGGACAGCGGAGATCCATATGCTGATCCGGATTGTTAACCCTGATGCTCTATGGGTCGGTCCATAACCTTCATGGATGCCATTTTTGTTCATGAATAAGCACTTTATCGATAAATATGTGACATATTTGTTGTTACCTTTAGGTAACAACAAACATGCTCACAATATGAAATTGCTCACAATATGAAATGCAGACTACTTGGTGAAGGTTAGAAAACAACTGGATGAACACATAGCCCAATAGCACATTGTTCTAAAGAAACAGTCTCGGCAAAACCCCCGTTAAAACCACATTACGATTCCTCTAAAATATTACCTTGTTTGGTCCATTGAATTAAGTAAGCAATAGATATGTAAATAAATAATATTTTAGAAATGTTTAACACATTTGGCTGTGTGATAAGTTTACATTACAGTTACAGATGATAAGGGATGGAAGTAATACAAATTATTTCATAGACTTAAATTAGGAAATTAGAAATCATGCAAATGGAGACACATAAATATTTACAGGTAGTGTACACATTTGGGGCCAAAATGAGCACAGTATATTAATTATCTATATTGTCATGGCAGGGTGTTTCCAAAATGGTAGCATGCAGTTGCTTCTGGTGAAAAAAACACACAGTAAAGGTGGAAAGTGGAGGGCAGTGTAAGAAACATGGTTCATTTTCATTACATCAGCCTGATGTGTTTCAATGAAATTATTGAATAATGATAATCACAATCTTACAGCACTACCTTTAGCTCACACATTTGTGTCCACACCAATTTCATAAACGATAGGCTGACATCTTCAGACAAATCCATAAATTCTAATTAGTCGGGATCCTCTTAGTTAATTTTCAGCTTCCAGTGGGTATTATCTGCAAATGAAGATCAAAATGTATGTGTGTTTAGGATATGTCAATATCTACGATCACAAAATGTGGGTAGTGACTGAGAGAATGAGGTGTCAGATACAGGTGGCTTAAACAGGTTTCCTTCAGAGGGTGCGAGGAACTGAGAGGATGCCCTGGGGCAGACCCTGAATGTGCTGGAGGGATTATACATCCCTTCTGGCGAGGAAACACCTAAGGTGCGGAGCAGATTAATTACCACTACACCGTTTCATCTCTAAGATTAACATAGACCACAGTGTCTAAATTCATTTTTTCAACTAAATGAAAAATAAAGAAAGACAGTCATAACTCCTGCCCAGCAGGTGCTGTGTCATGATCACGATGTCATTTGAATGGTGTTTTCAAAATTATAGGGATGGTCTTTGCTGAAAGACAAACATAAGAACAGGAAGTGTTATACCCTCCAGTCAAGTGTGCTGTACATATTGAGGCTTTCCTATTTATCATTACATACGTATAGCAGTGTGCATCCCAGCACTTATTCCCTCTGTTGTGTTGCTCTAAAATTAGCAAAGGCATGACTTTAGGTCAGCACAGCTATGATGAATTGTGCAGAAGTGGGTAAACGTCATCGATGTGGCACCACTTTTCCCTGTTTTTCTCCTTTTGCCTGTCCCTCAGCCTCAGAAGGCTCTGTTTTTCATTTATACTCTTTGATTTCTCAATGGATTCAATTTAAATGTTTTTATATGAAAACGTAATCTTTTTCTCCCACCTATTCCTCCCTATACAACCATCTGATTTACCTCCCAGTCCTTTTCTTTCCCTTTTGAACAAAGCAAGACTCCACCCTGAAATTGATACACTGATGTCGTATCTGTCAGGTGTGAGCCTGCTCGTGTCTTTGCACCTTTTGCTTTTCAGCAGGACAAATGTTTTTAGTTTTTTTTCTGCATGTGCATGTAGGTTCATGATTGTGTTTCTTCTTCAGTTTTTGCACTCTATTGTATAATTCATCATGGCTCTGTCCTGCCTGGTGACTCATTGTGAAAGCCACTGCTGCATTACATCTTAGACAAGAAAGCCTACATACAAAATAGTCTGCAGTGGTTATGTGATTGCTTCCATTAAAGTGATTATGCAATCAACAGCAGTGAGATGGACAAGAGGCAGACAGACAGGCAGGCAGACCAGCCAGCAAAAGAGACGGGGGGTAGATGAGGAGGATGTGCACACATACACATAAACATGCCTAGATACTGTATTTGCAGCTCTCAGGAAGGTGGGTGGAGTTCCTTTATTATTTTAATAATCAAGTTGAAACTGCTTCATGTGAGTCCGCATGACAGCTCTGTCCCTGAACCTTTCTTTTTCCTAGTTCTTCCCTCACCCCCTCCTCCAGATAATATTTAGCAGACCCCAGGGGCTCCCAACAGGTGCCCAACTCTATCTCCCCACTTCAGGAGAGTTGGGGCTTGGAGAGACCGTGGCTGTGCCGGCTTTATATATATTTTTAAACTTTATTTGATTCTTTTCAGAAAAGTATACAGACAGAGACAACAGGGAGTCAGGGCTGTGCCGCTTTTCTTCTTCTTTGTCTCATATTTCCGCATTCTATCTGTTACCACACACTGATGGTGTTTCACAGCATCAGGTGATGGCTGCTCGGTTAATCTGCGAGAGCTTTCCCGTTTTCAATCTGCCCTTCTGTCGAGAGACTGATACAGCTTCTTTAACCCCAGGACAACATTTCATTGCACTGACTTATGAGTTTCCACTTTGCTCTTCATTGTCCTTTTCTCGGGAGTGCCGTAAAAGTCAAAGTCCCATATTTCTTACCTACTTCTCTTTTCCCCTTTTTATTCTCTCAGCCAAAAAAGCACCAGATGGCTCAGTCATCGCCAACGGCTACTGCGACTTTTGCCTAGGAGGCTCAAAGAAGACTGGCTGCCCTGAAGACCTTATCTCCTGTGCGGACTGTGGACGCTCAGGTAGGACACCGCTGAAGGGGCTGATCAGCAGGAGGAAGGCAGTCCTCTGTTGATGCACGATTTTTGACACATTTCACTTGTTGAATATAAAATCCCAATGTAAGTAAATGCAAGCTTCCAATAATTTCTGCTTAAGATCGATGGACCATACCTTTGTTATTTATTGTAGCCCATTTTACACAAATCTTCCCCACTGTGTTTGAACCAACGGATTATTTAATTTAATTTAATGTTTCACAACTTCCTAGGTGTTTTTCTCACCTAGATGGCAGCCATAGTATCTGAATATACAACACTAAGAAACCTTAAAGGTCATGTTCGTCAAACATGTTTTACACACATGTGATGAATCTGCACTTTACAATCATGGAATAGTATACAGCTATGGCAAAAACGGATGAATGCTTATGATTTATATAGAAAATATCATTTCTTGATTAAATACCCTGCAATGTAAGCATTGCTTGGTTCTTAATAGAAAACAATGGCTGCCTGGGGTCAGAAAACACAATAAAAGACAACAGTTTAAACAGTATGATATTTTGGGTGACTATGGCCAAAATGTGAGTTTTGCAGATCTCGCAAGTTAAGGGCTATATGCATTCATGCTTCTGAATTCACCAAAGCATGACTGAGTGTTGAGTAAATAAAGTGAAAGAGACCAGCAAGGAGAAACAGATGCACATAAAGTCAGGGGGAAAAGAAAGTGCACCCTATTTATTTAAGTCGTATCAGGGCATAAAAACAAAAAAGATTCATGTCTTGTTTTTTTTTTAGTGAAATTGGTGACATATTATAACATTGTTATTTAGAATAGTAATTTATTTGAAAAAGAGGGTCAGTAACATGTAGGTGCTACTAATCAAATGCACTTAGTTAATTTATTATTATGAAGTGTGAGCATCGTTGTAAAAGTCCAGCTAAAGTCCAGACCATAACATGATCTTAACAGTGTGGCACTAAATGCCAAAGCCTCAGTAAAGTTGAGCAAAAAAGAAGAATCATCATTAGAAAGTGGTTCTATCAGCTGTTGGGGTGCACATAATTTTTCACAAACAGCCTCTGCACTTTGAGAAATAAATGAATAAATAAAAATGTAAAGCCACTGTTTAATATGTCATGTCTTGCTGCTCCTCTCAAGTTTTCAGTTACTTGAATTCAAGAGGAATTGCACAACAAAAAATAACACTAAAGAGCTAAAAGAAGGTGCGTCTTCTTCTTTCATATGACCATTAACTGTATTTAGCTCCCAGTATTTACATGCATCAGGGCTGCAAAAAACAGATAACATTCTGCTCTGCATTTCACTCTTATACTTCCACACACGTATAATTTTACTGTAACCCAAATACAAATTAATCACATGAAATATCATCTTTGTGTGACCTTGTCTGATAAGAAAAAAATTATGTTTAGATTCTTGTATGCAGCACACCTTCAACCCTGTATATAAGCAAAGTGTGATATAAAACTTTGTCTTTCTTCTTTTGAGATGATATCCCACTGTTGCATGGAACTTGCACCAGTTTTTAAGAGCAATAGTCTGTATTTTGCTTGTGAATGCCCAAAGGTATTTGTTCGATTTTAGTATTTGTTTTAGATACATTTTTATGTTATTTTTCAGTGGGATGTGTTTGTTTATTTTGGCTATATGTAAAACCATAGAATGTAGTGTAAATGGCGCATTTGACTGCATGTACTGTATATACATATATACATACTTTCCTCAATTGTTTCTTCTCATCTGCAAAATAAAATAAGAGAACTAAAAAGATTTATGTGATTTGTAATGACTGGGCTAACAGAAAACACTGGTATGGTCCCCTTTTATATATGTGTTCATGAAGAAAACATGAATATCATGGGATGGCATCCCAGTACATTCCCCAAAAAAATAGGACTAAATGGGTTAAATAACAGCAAGTACATTTTATAGCATTAAAGTGTTGTGAAATTAGAAGTGTCCGCTATCTAGATTGCATAAATAATATGGAAGTTTGCACCATTTTCATTCAGAGATTATTAACGAAGTTCTTTTAGGTTTTTTCTTTCAAGTAAAAAATAAGCTTGTGGCTCGCCTATTAGAAGAATAAAATGATCGAAGATCTCTTAAAACTACCTATTTTTGTCTCTTTGTGACAGTAAATTCACTATAAGAAGTTTTCTGTCAAGTGCTATGTCTATGTAACCAAAGGCCATAAATATATTTCATTCAAAATAATTGGTCTATTTACTAATTCTTGAAAAATATTAGCTCTCCTGAAATTTGATGGCTGTAGCACATCTCAAAAAATAGTCAAAACATGCTTGCATTTACCACTTTGTGGCATCACCTTAAACAGCTAAGCTGCTGGACCTTTGTGAGAGGAATGACATCACATCATTTTCTGATATAAGACTCTTAACTGCTGAGCAGTCATGGATCTTTGTTGTATTTTTGGGTTAAATAAAGATGAGTCCTGTTATCCTGTTGCCACCCAACATTGACTGGAAACTGGAGAATTTTACTTCTGAAAGCATCTCAGGTGCTCTTTTATTTCCATTAATGTTATCTGTTGCCACTTAAGGTACCGGTAATTGGTTTTGACATCCTCCCTGATCTGTTTTTGCTGTCGCTGACTTTACCAGCAACCCTGTCCAACAACAAACAACAAAATATTACTGCTGTTGTTGCCAATTTAAAAGAAGCTAATGTTGTTTTGTGAAATAGTAAAATATCTCACTTTAAACACAGACAGAAAAGACTGGCACATAAAATATCTGGTTGATTAAATATTGTACAACTGTCTTTACTGAAACTACAGACAGTGATAGTCAAAAATCTTGTTGCATTGTGCTTGTGCGTGCGTATGTGCTTTGTTTGTGCACGTGTGCGTGCGTGTGTGCGTGTTCTTTGTGTGTTTGCACCCAGGCCACCCGTCCTGTCTGCAGTTCACAGTGAATATGACGGCTGCGGTGAGGACTTATCGTTGGCAGTGCATCGAGTGCAAATCCTGCAGCCTGTGTGGCACCTCGGAGAATGACGTAGGATTTCTCTTCATATTTTCTGCTCCTTCTGAACACACAGCTACACGCGCATTCACACACACTGGTGCAGTAAGCCAAGTTACTGGTGAAGTAAGTGAAAAGTAGGGAAATAGGTTTAAAAAAACATAAATTTTTGCTTGGATTGATGGGATACGTAGTTGTCGGCAATAAAGACGTTTAAGTGGTCATGCACTTGTGTGCAGAGGGATGATGTGTAATCACTGAGAACACATTCACAGACACTAGTCATAACTTTACATACATACACTGTCATACAGGTACTGTTCGCTTACTTTTTAGTGACAAAAAAATCAGCACGTTTAATGCCTGCTGCAGCTTCTTGATTCATAAATGAGTAATTCCATACTCCAAAAGACTGCACTTACATTTCTTAGGTTTTCCTCAATGTCACTACTGTCCAGGCATGATGACATATATGTTCTTGTGTTGCAGGACCAGCTGTTGTTCTGTGACGATTGTGACAGAGGCTACCACATGTACTGTCTGAGCCCCCCGATGTCTGAACCCCCAGAGGGTATGCAAAATACTTCTAACCTGATACGGGTCTAACATGTGGAGTTTCTTTGTACGAGGAGTACTCGTACAAGGTCTTTGGTCTGGGAACAGAGACACTCAGACTCTGATATTTGGCCAAAGGACTCTTATTTTTTGCCTTGAACTTCTTGACCAGAGAAAAATCTGATGCTCATGCTGGTGTGTTTCTATGTTGGAACATATTAACCTTGGAATAACAGCAGAAAAAACCATGGTGATGTAGCTTTGTTCGCCGTAACAGAACAAGGAAAAACTACTTGAAATCAAGTCGTTGGACACATAAGATGGCTGCCTCAGGATGTTTGATGGCGTTGTCATGGAAATAAGTTGAAGAAAGATAATCTGTTTCCATAGCAAAAGTGTCACTTGGCTGAAGAAAGAGTAGCACTGTCACTTGTGCCCAACACTCACCAACAGTGTCAAGATCTGCCCACACTTGCAATGCATTTGATTTACAAGTTATAAAAGTCAGCCATAGCATCTTATTTTGTCTTATTAGTTAACTTTTTCATATTCTCTGATACATGGATGCTAAACTGATTTATATTTGATCATTTGTACTTGCACAACATCCTCAGGCAGGATATCTATTTGCTTCAAAGTATTGAGGTTGAGAAGTATATTTTACCATCATTTGCAGGCTGGTGTTTAATTAATGTCACAAATCTTATTCGGTATTCCAAACCGAACTAGTTGTCAAATCCCCAGCATCCACCGACCACAGACACAGTGGGTGGTGTTTCAACACCAGCTTTAATTTGCAGTGTGACTTAACACTCTGTGTGAAATGCGGGATTAATCCACAAGGCTTCACAATAGCTGTGATTGAACTTCTGATCTGTGATATTCCCTGTGTGTTTTACAGGGAGCTGGAGCTGTCATCTGTGTCTGAGGCAACTTAAGGAGAAGGCCTCAGCCTACATCACCCTCACTTAATCTGCGGGACTTGTCCTTTTTGGCCCCTTCATCCTCTCCCACATCACCTCCCTGCACACCTATCCCCGTGCTTCAGCGTCCCCACCTCTTCCCTTGTTAGGAAACCCTCGTCTTCACTTTCGCTACAACCTGTCCCTGTGACCTTTGGCACCTCCAAGCACACACACAGCGCTGCATCCACTTTCGAAAGTGTCTCGAGCAGTGAACCAAATCCCGTGTTCTTTTGTCGCTCTAATCCCCCGTTGTGCTTGACCTGATCCCAAGCTCCAACCCCTCAGCTCCCCCATCCTCATCCCGGCTCTGTCTCAGCAGAGTAATTCATCAGCTGGCAATACGTTTGCTAGCAAGACACACACTTCAGCCCGCTAAGGGCACTTCTGAGGCAGACTACTCCATAGGAACCCTCATAAGGGCCCTTGGATGAGCCCTAATGATCTTCAGCTGCAACTCAGTCATGTAGTGAGTGAGAATTATTAAGACGGCTAGGTTTTAGTCAAAGAACAAGGCAGTGAATCGGCCAGATAACCACGGAGCCGCGTGTTTCAAGCGTTCGCCAACTGTGAAATGTACACACAAACCAAAATTTTCATTCACACCATTGGTTCCTCAGTGTTTGTGGCGGAACTGAGACAATGAACTCTGCTCTGGCATTTGTCCACGGGCTGCCTGCTTTGTGCAGTTTCAAAGGATGTGATTTGTACAGAATTAAAAAACGATTTTTCGAGCGGCACACTCTAAATGAAGCTCCCCTCCGTGAAAAAGGAAGGAACATCCTGACAGAAGCTCATCTTTGACCTCACCCTGCCCTCTCTCTCTCTCTGTGCATGGGGTTACCACAAATTAATGGTGCATTTGGGGGATCAATGTGCAACGGCGTGGTCCTCTGATGGAGGACAGAAGGATTTTTTTCTGATCAGTTCTCCCAAATTAAACAGTTTATTTGAAAACCAGAATTTAAACTCAGCATTTCCCACAAATCCTTCACCTGATCCGTATTCACCCTGTCCTCCAATCCAACGACTGTGAAGCCAATGCAAGACTGAAAAACTCCTGGTGCTTGGTGTGCATTATGTATGTGTTCGGAATGTGGGATCGATGTGTGGACAATACAGATCTTTGTCTGGCTCAAGCCGAGGCCTACAAACATATTTTGTATGATTCTGTTTTTTTATTCTGTTTATTTGCATGTTGTTAGTTAGATTGTTTCTAAGAAAATCTAATCGAAATATAAAAGAAAGCACACTTAATTCGCAATAATGTGTTTGTGATATGAACCCTTTGGCCAACCTTTACGTGTTTTAAGCTCTGTGTGTGCCCATGTCTGTTTGTGTGGATTTATTTGGGCAGTACAGTAACTGTAGCGAGCTCCATAACTGAAGGGCTCTGTGAAAGAGTTCGAGCAGCAAAAAGGGAATGTGAATGTAAGGAAAGTCAGAAATCACCCATCCAGGCAGCCAGGCAGAGTTGAGGGAACTTCTATATCTAAGCCTTGAAGTTCTATAGAAATAAAGAGGTGTTTATGGAATTCTTTTTCAGAATGTAGCTTTCAGCAGAGCAATGAATACAGGAAATCAGTATTTGTTTGCACTAATTCTACAGTGAGACAAAGATAAATTGGTGGTCATATGAATTGGTTTTAGATTAATGTTGATCTTTGGTACACGCTATATACAAGTTCATGCTATGTTATGTTATGTAGCGTGATGTTTCTTCATCCTAAAAACTGCCATGTCAGGAAACTTTTTATTTCAAGTTTGTCTTGCGGCCGCATTACTGAGCTGTCATTTTGAGATTTATTCTCTGATATTCAAGGATTGTTATATCATGACCTTGATGGCAAAGCCAAATCCATTAGTCAGCACCTTATGGCTTAGTGGGTCTACATGCAGAAGTGTTTTGGTATCATTGTCCCTGGAAGAATTCATCCTCTTTTCAACAGTCTGTTGCTTGGTTCCAGAATTTGCTGCTTTCTTCTATCCTTACAACCTGTTTGTCATGAAACTCTGACCGCTGGTCAGGAGTCACTTTTGGAAAGTTTCCCCTAGTCAATAATGGAACGTGTCACTTACCACCATAGATGAATAACGAGCAATAGCTGTAAAACAGCTCCCTGTGCATTAGAAAGTGATGTTAAAATGGTAAATTATGTGCTGGAAGCAGATGTAAAAGAGCTCTTGAAACACTCTGGCCCACTTTGAATTGGTAAAGAGAATTTGTTGGTGAGTTCAATGCTCCATATGTTGCTGGCAGTGGCACAAGCACAAAGGACGATTAGTCCACCCCCATGTTTAATATTAGGAGAGGTAGAGAGATTTGTAAAATCCACCAACCCCCACAACCACTCACCCCTTTTTATGTAAAACATATCTCGTTTTTATCAAGCCCAAAAGTTCTGACTGAACTTTAGTAGTCTGAAAAATTGTCTTATTCTTGACCCATATGTTTTGAGTTTAGTAATGTTAAGCTTAACACCATCTTATGTTTAGACTGATTGAGAGCTGCTTCGGGCTATAATCGCAAAGCTTTCAAGTTGAGTCTTTTTTTCCCCTTAAAGTGGCAGTATAAAAATTGCCCAGCAAGCTACTTGAGGTATGAGATCCTCCACTCTAAAACATTAAAAAGCATGTTGTTTAAAAGAGAAATCATAAATGATCTTGCTTTCAGATTTACAGAATGTCGCATCCTTGACATTTCTTTTGGAATTTAGCTTAACAATTCCAGTAAAATCACTCATGACAAACGTTCTCAGTGTTATCCGTGCTTTATTTATCACTCAGCTATATAGTGACATAACTTTGAAAAATTTGTTCGGGAAATGCAACGATCATCACCAATTTTAATGCTTGTCAAAATCTTCCCTGTTCAAGTGCTCACACAACCAACCAAAACATCTGCATTTAGGAGCCATAATCCTGGATACTTATCACCATAGCAACAACATTTTTCACAGGGTGTATGTTAAAATGCTCCGGTTGTCACGAATGTAATGCATAAAAGTATTTCCTTGATCTTTGTCGTGTGGGGGCTCCATAGGTTAGAATTTAGGTGACAAGTTGACCTAGACTCCACTTTATGGCCAGTAAAATGTGAGCACACCTGTTTGATGAAAGCAAGCTTTGATGACAAATGATGTTAAAGAATTTCTTCTTTCTGCCAGTCTGCACAGCATGTTCCAGACCAGCATAATGGGCTTAGCGTGCCAGCCAGCATGCAAATTTGGGAGCTTGCAAAAAAAAACCCTCCAAAAACCCCAAATTCTTTTTTGCTATTCTCAACCAGTCTAACTGTGTTTCTCAAGGCCACTTTAAGGAACACGCCATATAACTGAAGTGCAAGTGCTGTGTTAAGAGGATGCATTCAACACTTCTAAATTGTTTGTATAGAAATGACATCCAGCCATTCATAGATATGCAAGCTTTAGGCTTTGAGACAGCTGTAAATATGAGATTGAATTAAGGACAACAAATTGCCGTGTCATGCACATTCCTCGGTGCAAATCAAGAAATCAAATAGCTCTGATTTAGTTCATTAAATTTTTCGCCAATGCTGCATCAAGTCTCTACATGGAAATCTGCAGAATTAGTAGGCTTTGTGAGAATCTACCTAAACTATAGGAGGTGCAAATATGTGCACTTTCCGTGCTGCGCCTCATCTCAGAGTAACTCCAGTGTTGCATGAATGACTGCCGTAATGCTTTTGGTTTTATATTTGGAAAAAGTCAGAAATGGGTTCTTATAAACAAAATGGAAAAAAAGGAAACATCTTTCTTTTCAGTTTTTTTCTTTGTTTGGTGTGTAATTTCCGTTTTTTTTTTTTTTTTTCACATTGCACAGCGTGGCTTCTTTTGCCCCAAAGTGCGTAAAGCCTCTGTGTGACATGGTGTGTATCTGTTTGTGCACAACCTCCAATGACTACTGGAGGGTCGGTGAAAAAGCGAAACAAACCAAATTAGTGAATGTTTACTGTTTCTTCTCAGTGGAGCCAGTTTCCTGGCACAGCACTGTAGAGAGGTGCAATGTTGACTACAGATTACAACAAAAGTGTACTTGACTGTACCAAGCTCGCACGCATTACCGGGAGAACGCAGTTTTATTTCATGATGAGTCTGTTTTTTATTTTCTCCCAAAAAGCCGGTTATACAGCAAAAACGGTTTATTTCTTTTAACCAGTCAGAGCTAAAATCTAGACTTGAAGTGTGCTTGAGTGGGAGAACTTTAAAATGATGCTTTGATATTAGAAGCGTATGTGTTTTGAACAGAGGTGGATGAAGATGTCAGTCGTGACTTAATGTTTGGAGATTGTGGCACTTGATGGGAGAAGCATGGTGGAGTCAAACCCATATTTTGATTGTACTCTCTGAGGAAGCCATGGTGGGGTATCCGTGGGGCGTGATTATTTCAAGAAACTTGAGCCTTTCTCTTTGTGTAAATGGACAAACCAAGATGACGGGATTAAGTGGGCATGGAGGTATAGGGTCAACAGAGACACACCAGGCACCTCCAGGCCTCAAGTCGATGCTATTGCCCCCATCTGCTATGACCTTAAGCTGTTGGGGAGACACCATCAAAGGGTTGACGCTCTGTTGTAAATTGCTGTTCTGTGATGTTGCTTGCACTTTTTATTTTCTTTCTCAAAAATATGAAGCTAATTGTAAGTATATGCGTGCGTGAGTGCAGGCGCACGTGTTACTTTCATTTGTTACAATTCTTTCAATGTGATCGTCTGTTGTTAACAACACTGGATAAAAATGAGTTTTTAATTTGTATTTTTTACCTCGAGTGGAAGATGGAATCTTCTTGGACATTTTTTTACCCCCCTTATCTTCAGCTCCCTCTTTGTCTTTCTCTTTCTCTCTCTGGTACCAGGGAATGCTTTGACATGTGGACTGCAATCCGCACTGCTGCCATCACCGCTCTCAGTCATTTTCTGTGAATTCATTCGGCTCTCTCAATTTTCCGAAATTTTCTCTCTTCATGACTCATTTTTTTTCCATTAAAATGATGAGATTGAAAAATGAGCTTTATCTCTGAGTTGTTATTGTCTGTCTTTGTACCTGCGTATTATTTCCAGTGGTAATCTTTGATTAACTGTCTGTTTTTGGATAGCATTCTGTCTCTGTCTGGTCTATTCATCTGTATTTTTGCCAACTAGGGCAGCTTAAAAGTCAGTTTTGTCATGTTTTTTCAGGTGGGAAGCACACAGGTCATGCAATTACACTTACAAACAGGGATCTGAGGCCTAAACTAACCGTTTTTTTTTTTTTCTTTCATATTGCAGATTGTAATCTAGTAGAGCAGTGTGTTCAAAGTCAGCTTTCACACCCAGAACAACAAATCATCACATTAAATTAGACACTTTTCAGATAAAATTAACTAAAGAGGCAGTTCCTTTTTCTATTTGAGAGTACACACCAATATTTGTATAACCTCTTCATGTGTCTGAAAAGTATCCAGTTGGCTACAAATGGAGATATGATGAAAGAGCATCATTGTTTTGCAAAGCTTGCCTGAAAAAATAGGATTGCAGGACAAAGGAGCTCCATCGTCCACAGTTGTTTCCAAGCAGCACTGCAGAAGCAGACACACTTTGCTATTCAGGGCAGGTACAGTTTTTATTTGGGATGTATTCCTGGAGATGAGACATTCATCATAGCTGCTGTGTTGCCCAAACCTGGCTGTGCAGCAGCAACAGCAGGGTGAAGTCAAACCCATCAGCAGTTCCAATTTTTCCTTCCTTGCTTCCTTCCAGGAGACGGAACACAGAAATCTTGTGGTCTACTTAGTTCCTGGGGGTGAATATAGGTATTTATAACAGTATCCTTCAAACAAAAAGAAGGGGAAAAATACAATTCCTCTATGTTTTGGCAGAGCTCCAACCTTATCCAAAAAGCCTGCACACCAACCCCAACCCCAGCCATCCTGTGCATACAGAAACCCACACAAACACGTTTGTGTGCCACACACAAATTTAGACATGTGTGCAGGCAAACATGCACTTTCACACAAAACCACACACACACACACACACACACACACACACACACACACACACACACACACACACACACACACACACACACACACACACACACACACACACATAAGGCCTAGAGCTCTCATCTTCTTATGAGCTTCATTACTCTGACCTCGGTTCTCCCTTCATATCTCTGAGGATGCTTTTGCTGTATGTATGTATGTGTGTTTTAATACCCAATAGAATGTGAGTATATATATATTTATTTAGGCCCACAGTAAGTACCGGAGTGTTTATACGTGTGTATGGGTGTGTGTTTATATGTGTGCAAGAGTATGTGTGAGTACTGTACTGTGTGTATGTAGTGTGTGTGCATATGTGTGTGGCTTCCCAGCCAATTACCACATCTCCCAGACAGACTGAGACTGCCTAGGTCCTGCCAGCCAATCGGAAAGGGGCTGCGCACTGCCGGGCCGGAGGTGGTTGCCATGGTAACCAGGAGGTCTGTTTGCATGGTGGCTGATGGAAGAGTGATGGATTACAGTAATGGGATGGAGGGAGGGAAGGAGAGGGGGAAGAGAAGGAAGGAAGGAGTAAGCCAAGAAGGAAGGGAGAGGGAGGGAGGTGTGAGGAGAGGCAAGATGGGAAGATAAGAAAGAGAGAGGTAGAAATAAATATGGGGGAGGAGCAAAGGGGGAGAGGTGAGGAGGAGGGGGGGGGGGAGACAGACTCATACATAAAGATATTGGAAATGTATGAATGCATCTGAAATGAAGCGTCTTAAAAAGATGAAAAAAGAATGAGAGAAAGTGATAAAGGGGGAGGTGGGGGGAGAGGGGGGAATATATTGGAAAATGGGGTTCGGGTGGAGGAGGGCGACCATGGTGTGTGATTGAATTTCTCTTTTTATTTCTTGTGTCTGGGTTGAGACGTGTGTCTGGCCATCTGTCCTTGGAACAGACAGAGAAAGATGTAGTCTCACCTTTTTGCCTTCTTAGCAACGCCAGAGTCAGTCTGTGCAGGAACTTGTTTAATATTTCCACAGATTCACTTCAGCAACTCCATTGGATTACAATGCCAGATCAGGACAATCTACCTCAATCAGCCCAACGTATTTTTGAATAATGTATCTCCGCCAAGCAACCTGATGATCTATACTGAAAAACCTCAGGCAACCCAGTAGAACTGATCATGATCATTCATTATTAGCTATGGTTTTACAGACAAATTGTTTTTGCTTCACAAATGCAACTACTCTGTTTTGTGTGTATATGTGTGTGTGTGTGTATGTGTGTGTGTGTCGCATGGTGTTACCAAGGTTTCCCGGTTGAGAAGCACAAAGGCATATCAATGAATAAACTGAAGAAAGCTTCAAATTCAGAACTCTTGGATATGGGAAGATAACAGTGCAAAAAAGTGCATATCACATGGGCATTTTAACAGCTCCACAAAAGAATCAAGTGACATTTTCTTGTTTTCTTTTTCTTAAAACATATTTTTATTCAAAATGATAAATTGGTTGCATGGTGACTGGAACGAACAAAGATTACACTAACTTGGTTTTGTTCTTTTCAAAGCACAGCACTGCACATTTCAGCATGTACTTGTCGAATATTCAGTGGTTTCCCATTGTGTTTCATTTTGTGAAAAAAAATTCGACTATCTATATAATCTGAGATCAACAAAACGGTGTCTGTTCTTTAATTTTCTGTAGGGACAACTTGTAGCATGTCACCAGTATCAGTGTTTGTTAAACACATTGAATAATGACATTTTCATTATCAACAAATTTTAGCATAAGCGATCAACTGAATTAACAACGAAGAGGCAAAAACCATTGCAAATCAGTGCAAGGGATTTTTAAAAAACTAACTGACCAAAAAATGTTCAGTTTGATGGTGATTTATTATCTGATCTCCTGGCTCCAAATTACACACAGTTTTAAATCACATCAGCTTCCTCTCAATTACCAACAGTCTCTCTAGATGCTTTTTGTTTCAAGGATTAAACTAAATGTTAGTTTAGATTCTCAGTCATCCACGTCACTGTAATACTAACAGCTTGAGGAAAGTTAAGAACAGAAGAAGCCTTTCGGATAAAAGGCGAAATGTCTTAAAGATCCAAGAGAAAGTCCAGTTGCCTTTACTCAAGCTATTGGGATTAGGCTGAATCTGCCTCTGGCAATGCAAGCTCCCCATGATCTTTCCTACCAACAAAGTGACTTGTCATTTGCCATTGTTAAAATCCTGCATAGCAGCACTTCATTACCTTCTGTTGTCACTCAAAAGCGTTAACTTTAAAGATTATCTCCTTCCAGCCTCACTTTGAAGGTAATTTCTGGCTTTGAAAGTATCTGTTCAGACAAAATTGTAATTTATTTGCTCTGAGCTTTGATAACGCAGTCAATCACTGACTGGATCATCAGTTTACAGAATCCTTTCCAGGTGGTTGAACACTTGAATAATCCAGTGCTCAGATATTGTATAAATGCTTTAACTTTAAATCATGACTCAACAGTGCAACCTACAGGCAAGCTTCTGCAAAAAAAACACCTTTAGTTAGGCAGAGAGAGTGAAATAGGAGAAAAAGAGATAGCTGCATTAACTGTGCAGTAATGATTGATTTATTAAAGATCAGACACAGACAACAAGGAATTTAATGATTTCTGAGTTCATTTTCTATTGAAACACGTTGTGTGCAAAGTAATAACAAAGTATCGTCTGCAAGTATCTCAAATACATATGATTATGTTTACAGATTTTTTTCATAGGAGTCATTTAGTTAGATCTTATCTTCTTTTTTAATTTACACTCTAACAACTATAATGGTGCATATTCTTTAGTTTAAGACTAACATGTTTTTTTACATGATTTATATGTTATATTACAGTGAAGTTAAACAGAGTGAGTTTGTACTGCATTCATTTATTTCTTATGATAATGGATAGGTTTACACAGAGCAGAGATGTGAACGGTATGTACTGCCATGTTTGTCAGATAATGATGAATATCAGCAGAGTAATGGGAGAGCAGGATTCTGATTGAATAAGCTTGTCTCTTTGTGATGCTAAATAATACCTCCAGAGTTTTCTTCAGGGCCCAGCTGAATTTTCTTCTGCTTCAGCATTCTCCAGCTTTTTACTGCTCCTCAGGTTTGAAGGAATCTCAGAATGTCTTGTAATTTTTTAACATGAAGAGAGGGTGGACAGATCACCCCATCCCTCCCCCAAGCATTCATGAACAACTAAGTTAATTTTAAAGTAGGTGGAATTTAGAATTAATCTAAAACTATTGTTTCTTTCTGTCTGTCACTCTCCGAAGTCCATTGTGTGTTTGCCAGCAAGAAAAAAAATGTTGGGGTTTAGTACTAATAGATATGTAATACCTATGTAATTACTTTCTCATATCTGCATTATTTATTTTCTGATGTCATCATACAGTGTGCTTAAAGGTTGGCACTTGAATATAAAAAGTGAGCACTGTGTCTTATTTCCAGGGGCACTGACATGAGAGAGATTAGTTTAGTATGAGTATATGAATGAATTTCCTTCTAAAATGTTCTACATACAATACACTTAAGCTACATTATATTAATATTACCTTGTTTTTTTCTTAAAGGTATGAAATGTAATATTTAGATTGAAAATCCAGTCTACCTCTTGAGTATTTACTCCAATGGTCAATTTAGAATTACTGTAACCTAAAATCTATAATCTGGATGATGGAAGGAAATCAGGGTAGGGTTTTTGGAGAGAACTCATAGGGCAAATCATTAACCCCCTCACAATATTTTGTACTACTCAAGTGAAATTTGCCATTTTTAATCTATTCTACGTGTTGCTGTGTTGGCTGCCCCTCTCTGCTCCTTCTGTCCTTCTCTCGCCCTCTCTCTCTCTCTTGCTCTTTCTTTCCCCTCACCCCCAACCGGCCGAGGCAGATGGCCGCCCACCCTGAGCCATGGTTCTGCTCAAGGTTTCTGCCTGTTAAAAGGAAGTTTTTCCTTGCCTGTGTCGCCTAGTGCTTGCTCATGGTGGGAATTGTTGGGTTTCTGTAGTTAACTTCGGAGTAGGGTCTGACCTGCTCTGTTTGGAAAGCGCTGTGAGACAACTGTTGTTGTGATGTGGCGCTATATAAATAAAATTGAATTGAATTGAATTGAATTGAAATTAATTAAGCTTCATTTGTTTACTATATAACTTCAAATTTATATTATATATGACAAACAAAATACCTTTCAGTGTAATGATTTGTTTAGAATAATTCTTCTGACAAAATGTTGTATTTAAAAGGCATTTCCAAACAAATAACAATTTGAAAAACATAGTTTGCCAATAAACTTAAGATCTTAGCCTTTTATTAATGATTTCCTGTTACTCATGAGCCTTTAAAAATAGTCTAAAATCTCTTTTAATGAAAGATTTGAAAGTGATCTGCTTTCCTAATTTTTCTGGTGAAATAGTGATATGTGTACTCATTGTTGATTATCTATCAGTTGGTTAATAGCTTGAGTCCAGAAACTTTACAATATCTGTGGTGTTGATACTTGTACTTGTGTATAATGCCTCTGCCTTACTTGTTTACTAAACATGTGATGCCTTAGATAAAAACTTTTTACTAATAGTAGCTCTAATCAACAAATTGTTCATGTTCCATAAATAGAAAGTTTTAAATGTATTCAATTGTCATATACATATGATCATAATCATACGGGAAGTAAAGGAGCCTGTTCCAACCCAAAATATGCCCTATTGCAGGGCTTGTTCAGAGACAAAAGAGACCATGAATCTTTACATGTGAAACAAGGTTCAAACCTGCAGTCATCTAAATATTTCCTCTGCCATCATACATAATCCTGAGCCACCATGTACTGAAACGTGCGTTCATTCAAGATTTTATGGACATGCACCTTGTGAAGTAGATAAAAAGTAAGATAAACACACATATCCTTGGTCCCTCACGACAGTGCAGGGTATTAGATCTCAAGTGATGTGCAAATGGGTCCCATCCATTACACATCTGAATACCTTGGAAGTCCACTTTGCCAAGTTGGTATTCGACCCTTGAAAATGAATTAGCTATTTAATTTGTTTTGTAAAAAGATTTTTTTTAAAGACCAGTCTTCATAGGTAACTTTGCTAAAAGATTATACAAAAGGTGAAAAACAGGGTTAGGAATAGGTGACTTTCTTGACTAGGCAACGGTTGGAAAACTTTTTTTATGAGTTGGATTCAATGGATACAACCGTTTGTGTCATAAACAATCTAGTGTGTGGTTTTATTAAAATGCTGCCTTTGTGCTGAAGGACCTTTCAGCTGAAGGTCTCTCAGGAGTGCATTAAAAAAAAAGACCATAATCATCTGGTTTTCTTATGTGCAAGAAATATCAAACTATTACAAAGTTGTGCTATTCCTCAATAAGGAAATGTTGTTTCTATCCTGATCATTCCCACCAGGCTGGAAAAGAGAGACTGAAAAAGAAGCAGTGAAGAATGGCAAAGCATCACTCTTGATAAACACTGGTGCCCTCTAAGAAGATTGAATCTGCTGTCAGAAAAACACAAAGTGTGAAAATAATGAAGCATCTAAATCTCAGTCATGAAACGTGACTTTTGCTGCACTCAAGAGTTCTGGTCTTTGAGAAGCCTGATTTTGTTCTCTTACAAAGTGGAGCCCTCCTTCTTAACCTGAAAAAACAATGACAGGAATAGAGGACGACACTTTTTCAAATCATTTGACATTGTAATGATGTCCTTTCACTCAGAAATTGTAAATAAGGAGGAGGAGTCCCCATGGCTGGCACATTGGTGGGAAAAACAGCACATGAGGTGACACCCCAGCGTTACCTAACCAAGAGCAGGTCAAAAGTAGATAGTGAGAGAATCATGCATGTCAAAATCATATGCTATAGATTTTCCAGGGACTAAACGTGAGATCCAGCAAGCGTGCTGAGCATGATGGTGTGTTCACAAAATAAGAAATGTGTCATAGCAGTTATGTTCACTCTATTTATACACAGTAATAATGTTGTGCGTTCTGTGTGTTTTTGGATAAAAGTGTCTGTAATTATATAGACAAATCTCAACATACTATATAAAGCCCTAAACAATGGGTTCCCCCTCTAACAAATCTCTGTCTGTCCAATATCAGCTGTCCACTATTCAGAATGTGTACAATAATGATCTTAAGGAGTGTACATTTTCCTTCTAAGTCTTGGTTGTTTGACCTCTCCCATTGAGTGGTACTCACACTTCTTGCTGCACGGTACATCATGGTTCCGTGTATCACTTCTCTGGTTTTAAGATGACACCTCCGACAATTTAGTCGAGAACTGAAAGATCCCGAATAGACCCAAGAAGTCCAATGGCAATTACTCTAGCTCTTCAGGCCGCAAAAATGCTCTTTTTTCCATTTCTTTTTAATGCCTCCAAAATCAGGTGCTCCCTGTGCATTTATGCCATTTAGGTTGTATTTTGGCAGCGCCATTTTAGCTGGATACCCAGATTGCTCCCAGTTGATTAGCCATATATTTGACTTGTGCCACCAAGGGGAATCGGAGTCCCCTGTTTTAGCCTCCAGGCAGTGGGTCCCAGCCAAATCTAGAATTGAGTTTTGAATCCTTCTAATATTTTTTAAAGGCCTTAATGGCCAAGCAGTGACCAATCTAAACAATCTTATCATTTCCAATCACCACAAGAGTTCTTAGCTCTCAGAATGTTGGCCTGCTTTCTGTTTAAAGAATCTCTTAAACCAGAGTGAGAGTGTCAGTGTCAAATGAAAAACTTTTAAAACTAAATTAAAAACATATCTCCTCAGCAAAACTTATTTCGAATTTTTACATCTCTCTTTGGGCTACATGTTTTTGCATGTTTTCTCCACTTTCTCACGTTTGCTGCTTGTACATCTGTCACCATCGCCTTTCAAGCACACTCAGTAACTTTTTTGGTTTTAAAAAAGTGCCACACAAGTAAAATTGAGTTGAACACGTACACACAGACAAATCATGACAAATCATGGTCCAGGTATTACATGTTAACTAACAGGTGCGTGGGGTAAGAGTACTAAAATCAGGGTGAAAGGAGATGAAGAAACGTCAGTCCAACAGGTTGGAGCGTGGCAGCTGGTAGGAGGAGCAACAAGCAGGTGATGGGAAATACACACATGCAAACACAGATGGTTCAAACAAATCAATCTTCTGCCCACGTGAAGGCCTGGACTGTGGGAAAAAAACTATTTCAGACATAGTGGAAATGAATGACTAGTCCTATAATACTCATTTCTAGATAGAAACTTGGAATAATCTCTTTCAAACACAACTAAATCCTTGGACAAACACTGGATCACCACAAGGATGAATAGCGCCCAAACCCAAACTGGATGATGTTGTATACAATACGTAGTTCAGTGCAAAGAAGAGAGAATTAAATTCAAAAGTATATGACAGGGCTCATGACAGCCCTCTACGAAGTTTAAGAATCAAGTCATCATATTTAGCTGGGGAAAAAAAACAAATCAAAACTTCACAATGCAGCTTTAAGTCTCCATTGGAAAACAACTCACCAGCGACAGCGAACCAGATTATTGGCTGGATGGGTGGGTCAGTCTGTGACACACATGTGACCTCTGCTCACATTTTAAGTCTGAAACTCTACACAGTTGTTTCAGAACTGAGGAAGACTTTCAGGTGAGAGGTGAAAAGCCTTCAGGTTCCAAGATAGGAAGTCCTGTTGCTTTATATGTACGCATTTCTGGATTGCGGACTCATAAGACGGCCAACAATCATGATGAAAAACTGGATCCCTTTTTATGCTCTCCTGCTGCTCATTTCAGTCCATGCAGATGTTGTGGAGCGTTTTGAGGTTTTTTGCTTGTTTTTCAGCTTATTCAAAAACCTCTACCGTTACATTCATGCACTGTGTGAGACATGTACTTATACTGGATTCTGTTTTTCCCCCAGGACGTGCCAGAATGCATGGAATACTTTTATAAAGAGAAGGTTCCAGTATGGGGGGCTTCTAGACCTGGTGCAGCTCATCTCTGCCAGCGCTTTGCCAACAGGTAGCTGACGGAACACAAAACTCTTAACCGAGCAGTATTTTATGCTCTATTATGTAAACATACCTAAATCTCTTCACTTTTGATAGATTTAAATCTCTTCAAGAAACACCCTGCGAGCTAATCTCTTGAGCTTTACTGTTATCAAAGCAACACTTTTGATCTCCTCATAAGTAATCCCTTTTCAACCATCAGGTACCACTTTGCCACGCTATATGACACCAACAATCGCATTGCTGTCTACTCTGCTTATGTATTCGAGCCCAGTAATGGTGGCGGCAGGGAGAAAAGGTGGTTTGTAGAGCCTCAGGTTGGTATTTTAAAAGAACAGAGTCTCTGTACACGGTTTGATGATCTTATCTTAAAACTGTTGATCTTAGGCTCAAAACAAATAAGTTAAAGGGGGAACATCTAATGTCAATATTCTCTAGCTATTCCTACAGATTTGCCTTGAATTTTGCACAAAGAATCTTTATGTCTCATAAATCCCCCATGGACTTTGACTTGGCTACTGTCAGTTCCACTTCTTCAGGTGTTCCTGGATGTTTGCCAGCCTCAGAAATAGCTTTTTAGCTATTCTTCTGTCTGTCATCTGTTTACGATCAGTCTGGGAACTTTCTCAAACTCTGATCTGGAATCATTCCTATGCCTGAAGATCACCACCGGTCCTCATTTTGCTTAATTACACATTTCTGGTCTGCATTTCTGGTTAACTTTTGTTTTCTTCCTCCTGTCTTTCTGACTAATTTTGGAAACTCGGCTCCCTGTAACAATAAGAACATTTGTGCCTTGCCCTTTGTTCCAGAGATCATCTAACATCATGAAATTTAGTCCAGACTCTTTAATTTGCATCAAGCAATCAATGTTTTATCTTTTTAAACTAATCAAGATTCCATGCTGTATTCCCTCTTTTGTAATATAAAATGGATGCCTGTACATGTATAATGCACTTTGTATTAATATACAAATGCATATGTTTTTCATTTGGTTTAGCTTGTGAATATGTCCTTTGGTTTAGCTTGTGAATATGTCCTGGGATGCTGAAATGAAGGATGGCTACTGGCTGGGGAGGGACAATCCTGGGATTTATCTGGGAGAGAAGCAAGCCCTAAATGAGGACTACACACACTCTGGCTTTGACCGTGGCCACCTCAACCCCAATGGACACCATCCAGGTGGAGCATGAACACTTATGTTCATTGAACAGTAGATGGCACTGCAGTACCAGATTTTTTTTACACATATCTGCTTGCGCTCACTTTTCACAGGTGTATAATTCTGCTTTTTCAAATACTGAATATGGATTTTTAACTAAACCACTATAAAGAAAGCAACTGCATGACAGCCAGCCTGATTTTCCATCACCTTTCAACAACAAACATGTACTAAATGCTGTCTTTGAAGGCATCTTATTGAAAGAAAACACCTTCAATGTTACAGAAAAGGCTGCAATGATTCCATAATGTTTGTGGTCCTGGAAACCTTTTGTTAGATCAGTGTTATACAGCCATAAAAAACATCAGAAATCTCATCAATCTAGGGTAAATGCAGAATGAATTAATCAGAGAACATATTTACATATTTTCTCGCAAATTGTTGTCTATTTGATGTTTATGTGAAGTATAATCTATGTAAGTCATTCTGTTCAGATTATTTTATTTTGCGGCAGTGTCTTTCCTCTTATTCAAGTTCTCTTAGTGTGCAGACACACTACTTGTAAAGTTACACATGGCATGATTCAGCAGCTTGATCTGTTAACACACGGATAACTTAAAATGATCACATTCCATATCTCATAGTTAGTTTTGCACATCAGTGCATTTACAGATCCCACTGATTAATTTTTTGGAATGACTGTACATGTTTGCACATGAACAGAAAAATTTCAGTAGGCAACTCATCTAGAGGAAAAATGTTGTGTCAAATTATGTTGTGCTTTGACCTCCAAATTTGAAAGAAACTACACTTTGTGTCATTTTATCTTTTTATAGATTTAAAGATCAATTCTCTTTTCTTCTCACTTGCAGTTCCCAGCCGCAACGCCACTTTCACCTTAACAAATGTGATTCCTCAAAACCCCAAACTGAATCAAAATGCCTGGAGAATCCATGAGAGCCAACTCACAGAACTCTTCCAAGCTACATGTTCAAAGGCCTATGTGCTGGTCGGAGCCATTCCCTCTGTAAACAACTGGATTATCAAAAACAACGTGAAGCGTGTCAACATCCCAGAGCACATATGGAATGCCTTTTGCTGCGTGGACAACAACGGTCGGCCCATTCAGAGCGGTGCAGGGGCAGCAAGGAACACTGAAGAAAACTGGGTCGAAAAGCTCTCTCTGACTGAACTGGGAAACTTCCTGCAACAGTTCTCTAATGAACCAGTAGGGGAGTTGTTTTACAACAACTGCAAGGCCTAAAAGTTAGGCAAAAAATCATTTAAAAAAAAAAAAAGGTTTGGCCCTCATCTTTATTTTTACTGCTATAGTAGATTTGAAAAACCCAAATTCTTTTTTTCAATTGTTGACTTAGTATTGGTAGTAAGAAAGAAATCCCTTTTTTTGTCAAAAATAAAACATATAATCTTTTTCACAGTCAAATAAATTCACACAATGATGTTGCACAGAATGAATGCACAGAATTACTGTTTCTTTTGCAGTTCCCTGCAATACAGACTAGAAATAAATGAAGTTGCTAAATGGCTCAAATCTTTTAGTATCCAAATGAGAAGACAGTTCTTTAGAGTCAACATAAAAATAGTAAATCATGAGCATTTACAGTGATTCCAAAAAAAGGTGATTGATTTCTTGCTGCATAGATATGCTTATGGGAGTAGTTACAGATGTAACTTTAGCTTGAGGAGTATTTAAAATAATATTGTCCTGTCATAAGTATCATGCAACGTTCTATATGTAAATAAAAAGTAACATTTTAATACATATTTCGAAAATGTCATAGCTTCAGTGCTGTCCTGGAAATACAATCTTGGAGAACTTCAACAAAATTTGGTGATTCCGCCAAATCACATCTGGAAAAAAACAAACATTGCAGCTTTTGCAGTATAATTTACTCAAATTTAATAACCAAAAACTGACTTGATCATATTTCAAAAGGTTTTCACTTTTATCTATCAAGGCACAATAAACCATTTTAGAAAATGTGTTTTCCTTTTGTCCCCACCTTTTGTTTCTTTTATCTTTTCAATTGATTTTTTACATAGAGCAATGCAGTGTTAAATAGTTCAATGACTGCTCTGTCTATCATCAAAATGATGACAGTTATTATTATTATTAATATTATTATATAGGAAGTGAAGTGATTAAATGGAGGACCTTATGGAATGCACTATTCTGTTGGCTCAAAAACAGGCCCAAACCCATTTTCAAGATCAATGTTGTTTCCCTCTTTGCTTGATAGTTGCTTTCACACAGAAATGCTGGAACACATTCTACCAGTGGTTTGTGAGTGCTTTTAGTATGCTATAATGTGCAAATACTGTTTGCAATGACATCTCACTTAAATTTGACCACTTTCCCAAACCCTTTTTTCTTTTCTTTTTTTTTTTTTAAAGATTTTTTTTGGCTCTAGTGGCCTTTAATGACAGTAGCTTGACAGGAAAGGGGGCAGAGATAGAGAGAGGGGGAGACCTGCGGGAAAGGGCCATGAGCCAGATTCAAACCCAGGCCGCCTGCTTGCGAGCAATGGCTCTGTATATGGGCCGCCCGCTCTAACCATTAGGCTACGCTGCAGCCCCCAAACCCTTTTTTTAGTAACTGTTAGTTCAGGCTGTTAATTAATTTTTCATTGTTTCTAAATGGAAACAACAGTTGCAGTATAGACACCAAAACTTTCTGTCAACTTTTCAGCTTTCCGTGTCTGGATAGAACTCCAGCGCCCCCTCCAAGGACTCCAAAAAGGGTGGGTACTCTGCACTGCTGTTAGGTGCATAAGCACCAACAACAGTCAGCACCTGTCCCCCTACCCAAAAACGAAGGGAGGCTACCCTCTCGATCACCGGGGTGAACCCTAACGTACAGTCACCAAGATGGGGAGCAACAAGTATTCCCACTCCTGCTCGACGCCTCTCACCGGGGGCAACTCCAGTGTACTGTAGAAGAGTGTCCAACCCCTCTCAAGAAGGCTGGTCCAGAGCTGTGCGTTGAGGCTGGACTGACTATGTCCAGCCAGAATCCCTCCGCCTCGCACACCAACGCAGGGTCCTTCCCAACCAGACATTCCACAGCCCTAGAGTCAGCTTCTGCAGCTGGGGATCGGTTTACCAGGGTCCCAGTCTCCGGCCGCTTCCCGTTCCACACTGCACCTGACCCCTTTTGCCCCTCCTATGGGTGGTGAGCCCATAGGAGGGGGTGGAAGGGGAACGCATGTGGCCTCTTCGGGCTGGGCCCTGCCAGGCTTCATTGGTGAAAGCCCGGCTACCAGGCACTCGCCAACGTGCCCCACCTCTGAGCCTGACTCCAGAGTGGGCGAGGGAGCACTAGATCCATTTGTGTAAATCATCATAATGGATCTTTGGGCTGCGCTTCGTCTGATCCCTCACCTAGGTCCTGTTTGGGTGACCCTACCAGGGGCTGGAAGCCCTGAACAAAATAGCCCCTAAGATCATTGGGACACTCAAACCCCTCCAGCATGATAAGGTGGCAGCCCAGGGAGGTAAACAGTAACATTGTAAGACATATTTTGAGGAGTGCAGTGTTAAATAGTTCAACGCTCTGTCTATCATCAAAATGATGATAATTATCATCTGTAGGAACAACGCTTTTGAAGTGATTGAATAAAGGGCCTCACGGAATGCACCGTTTTCCATGCAGCTGCATCAAAAACATGCACAAACCTGTTTTGAAGATGATATGTTCTTGCCCTCTGTTACCTTTGCTTGAGAGATACTGCCAGCAGCCATGGTGCCATGGTGATGAGCTATCAGCACTCCTTAACACAGCGGTGCCGTGCAGGCATGAGGTCCCACAGGATCTCATGAAAAGACTGAGAATTTATGGTGGAGCTCAACATCATGCGAGGAGAAGACGTAATAGACCTGTCCTGGTGTATATCATTCTGGTAAATGTGAGATCTCTGCCCAATAAGATGGAAAATGTCTAAATATCGGAAGTGGCGCATCACGCTGTTTACGGAGATATGGCTAAAGTCATTGACTCCTCTTACCTGGGTTTATTTCAACCTACAATAGGCCAACAGGATGCAGGAGAAGGGTAAGAGGAAAGGAGGAGGGCTGGCTGTGTTTGTGAAAGACAGATGGTGTAAGTCTGAACATCTTGAAGAACAACTCTGCTGCATGGACATTTAACTGTTACCCATGAGACTGTATTGTCTACAAAGGGAATTTACTTATTTTGTTGATAGTGGTGTGTGTTTCCCCCTCTGCTAACAGTGACCCGGCCTGTGATGTCCTGCATTCAGCTGTAAGCAGACTGCACACACAGCACCCACAAGCCTTTTTCTTCATCTCTGCTCGCCGATCTGATCTCTACTTCATGCCTGACCTTCTTCTACACTGCCAAAATTCACCCACTACATAACTTACCATATGTGTCATAACCAATAAAACAAATGGAACACTGGATCAATCTTATGCCAACACCAAAGCAACTCATAATTGAACACCCTGCTGCCACTGGGGACATCAGACGGCAACCTGTTTAATCTCCTGCTCATGAAGGCAACCAGCAGAGACTCGCACAGTGAGAAGATGGTCTGAAGACAATGATTTATTACTGCGTGGGAGGAACTCTTTGAGCCTCACAGGGAGGACACTGACAGTCTCTCACTGCATAAAAAATTATTCCAACCTCTGAGTGGAGGAAACTGCCCAGACTAGAACTTTATAAAGTTTCGCCAACAATAACGCTTGGATCAATCTGGACATAAATGCCCTTGTTGACAACCAACTCAGCCATTTGGTAAAGTGCATTTTTCACATACTATACTTGGTCATAGTATATACTAGAGGAAGTGCACTTACATAGACTAGCTCTGAAATTAAGCTTAGGTTTATAATGCCTAATTTAAGCATTAATTGCAACATTTCTTTTTTAAAATTTCACACATAAAGTGTCAAATATATCTGAAAAATGCAACGATTCTCTCAAGGTACATCCCAAAGTCCAAAAACATGCATGTTAGATAAATTGATAACTCAGATTCTTTCTCTATGATAATGATCTAAGGTTTACCCTCCCTTTCAACCTTTATCCTTGAGCAAAATTCAGAACCCCACATATTTTTTCAACAGTGTAACCCACTTTGTATAAAATGTCTGTTAAATGAACAGAGGAATACATTGTCATGAATAGAGAAAATTCAAAACTTCAACAGGGGTTAAAAGAATGACTTTAGACGTTTTCTTTTGAGATTTTGGAAAAACATTGCTGATAATTTTGGAAACTCCCATTTTATACTGTCAGGACATGTTCAATAGCAATGTACCTGAGACTAATTTTCTAGAGAACACAAAATCGTTGAGGCTTAATGGGAAGCTTAAATAGCTTCACCCAGGTGTTTTCATCTCATCTATTCACGCCGCAGGCACCAAAAAAAAGATTTGAGTCATCAAATAATGTAAAGTTAAGCATTGGGAAAAATGTTGGCTAAACTTGTGCAGGACAAAATAAGATTCACAATCAACATGTCTTTCAGTTGGAAATAAAAGAAGGGAAATGAATTGTAAATATTGGGGTATGGATTGGGTTTGTGGCTGTCTAGAATTCGTACCAGAACATTTTACTCAAAAATGCTTTTTACCTGTAAAATTATGCCATGGTAAGTTACAAATGAGTCAAAGTTACAAATGCAACTGAATATATTGAGCAGCAATGTACTATATATTTTAACATATGAAAATATGATTATATAACTTAATATCTACACCATTATTTCCTTGTTATAACTTCTGATACACACGAATATGTCTAACTCGCTGCCTGCTCATCAGTTCTGTGTCCAATATCTCCACTTATGTAAAGTACTCAAGCTGTTATCACAGTCTGTTAGTTTACAGGACAGCATTTGTTCCAGTCCTGACCTTTTAATGGCCCTTTAACATCCTTCTCAAATATTTGGTAGAGCACATACACATTTACATTTCAAATTTGGCAAAGTGTGTAATGCACGATTCTGTGGACCCAAAAACACCCTGAGGCAGACGGTCAGTTCGAACAGGTTTATTTAGAGGGCAACTCCTGTCGGCGTGGTCAGGCAGGCGATGTCGGTAACGTGTGGTCAGTCCAGCAATAATCCGTGGGTAATCCAAAACTTGGTCCGGAAACGAGCAGGGGTCGAGGCCAGGAAAGCAGTCCAGGGGATCAGACGGGAGCGCAGAGTCAGGCAGGCTGGGTCGGGGACACGGGCAGGCAGGCAGGCACTGAGTCAGACCAGGCAGAACTACAGGCGAGGCAGGAGAATCAGACGAGGGGCAGGCAGGCTCGGAAACAGGGTCAATCAGGTCGTAACAGGCAGGCAGGCAGGATAACAATGCTGGAAGTACTCACACGAAAGGTTTAGAGACGTTCTGGCACAGGTGAGTGAGTGAGAGTGGTATAAATACTGACCCGGACAGGTGCGACCAATGTCGCTGATTGCACGGAGAGATTGAGCCGGTGGGCGGTGCCAGAACGTCACAAAGTGTTATCGCAAAAAAATAATGGATTCTAGTTGTCATTGCACGAAAGAAATTTAACAAATGCAAAGTAATATTTTCACGTCCTTTTTTCTAAGTGTAGATTTAAACGCGTTCAGTGGAAGAAGAGGGTCTTCTAATCTGGAGAAGCTGAAGACTGTGCAGAAAAAGCTGAAGTAAAAGATCAGAGAAGGAATGAACCAATAAAGGAAAAAACGTAGTATTTGCTGCATCAGAACATCAGCAGAGTCAGTCTGGAAAGGCTTGAAAACCATCTAAGGATTCACAGAACTGGCCTTCTACGATGTGTGGACCAGAAGTGGGTGAATTATATGAACTTATTCTTCAACAGCCAACTAGAGCTGACTCAACCAAAACTGTGGGATTGTGGAGCACATCTTCAACCTGAGCCTGAAGCTGGTGACGATTCAACAACTGAGGAAAATATCCTACCAAAGACGTGGCAACCAGAGGACCTTACCAGCGTCAGGCCAGCCAATCAACCTGGCATTTGGGTGGATGGCGCTATCATCTTCCTTGTTCACAGAGCGCTCTCCAACCTCAAAAAAGCTAGAAACACTTTTTCTACAATGTTTTTAACACCATCCAGGGACAAGTTGGAGCCTTCAGGCATGGATAATTTGTAACTTTGTTAACTGGTGAAAGTGAGTGTGGACTTTGAGTATTCACTCAAACAATAAACTGGCCTGGACTATAACACTTTACAAAAAAAGGGCCAGAGCAAACTTGGACGCTGTGATAACAGATATTTTCTTTGGAATGCATCTCAAC